TAAACATGAGCGTTGCACAAGCAATCAATTAAGCTCTACACAGATAATTACTTATTGCTAATGTAACGGAACACATACAATTTGACAATATAATCGACAGCTATTCAACTTGGAATTCTCATGATTGTGTTATATATAGCTAAGAATATAGCACAAACCGTTGATTAGCTTACCAAAACTGAGCATTGTGTGGATGCAGAGTCACGAACAATTTTTTACGCGCCCTACATCCAAACACATGTCGACTATTATTCCATAGTCTGGAGTATTTACGTCAAATCTATTGTTAGAAAACTAAGTTTCCTTCAAAATCGCCCTTTACACCTGGTTTCAGATAGAAAAATATAAATAAATCATCTATATAGTCATCTCAGACTTCAGCCATTTAGTAAACTTTTAATTTAAAAAAAAAACCAATTTGTTCATAAAATGTAATATCGAATAATCCAAATTAATTTTTTTTCCGTTTGATTAAATCCAAACATAGGAGCAGCAAGTGACTAAGTGTATTACCTTTGCCTAAACAAAGAAAAGATTGCTATGAGTTCCTGTTTAACTAACCGACAATTGTTGTTAGTTTGTGCTTACAATTGATTATATGCCACATTAAATGTAGTTAATAATCCATATCGCATTATCGATTTATATTATTTAGATAAGATGTGCATGATATAAATGTATGTGTGTATGTGAGGACATGTTTATGTGTGATATACATGCATGCTGCATGTATAGACGTATTTGTGTAAGCATGAATGTGTGTATGTATAGATGTGTGTGAGAGAATGGATAAGTGTGAGTGTGTGTATCCATAAGCGATAATGTGTGCATGTATATGGTTGTTTTGTATGTAGGGGCATTATTGTGCGTATCTGTGTGTCTATATGTGCCTGTGTGTGTTTCAGAGTGTGTGTCTTTCTGTGTCTACGTCAGTGGGTGTCTATACGTGTGTGTTTGTGTATGTGTGTTTCTGATTGTGCGTGTGTCTATGCTTGTGTCTGTGTGTCTGTGTGTGGTGTATGCGTTTGTGTGTCTGTGTATCTGTGTGTTTGTGTCTATGTGTTCCTATGTGTGTCTGTGTAAGTGTGTGCAGCCGTATGTATGTATGTATGTATGTATGTATGTATGTATGTATGTATGTATGTATGTATGTATGTATGTATGTATGTATGTATGTATGTATGTATGTATGTATGTATGTATGTATGTATGTATGTATGTATGTATGTATGTATGTATGTCTGTCTGTCTGTCTGTCTGTCTGTCTGTCTGTCTGTCTGTCTGTCTGTCTGTCTGTCTGTCTGTCTGTCTGTCTGTCTGTCTGTCTGTCTGTCTGTCTGTCTGTCTGTCTGTCTGTCTGTCTGTCTGTCTGTCTGTCTGTCTGTCTGTCTGTCTGTCTGTCTGTCTGTCTGTCTGTCTGTCTGTCTGTCTGTCTGTCTGTCTGTCTGTCTGTCTGTCTGTCTGTCTGTCTGTCTGTATGTATGTATGTATGTATGTATGTATGTATGTATGTATGTATGTATGTATGTATGTATGTATGTATGTATGTATGTATGTATGTATGTATGTATGTATGTATGTATGTATGTATGTATGTATGTATGTATGTATGTTGTATGTATGTATGTATGTATGTATGTATGTATGTATGTATGTATGTATGTATGTATGTATGTATGTATGTATGTATGTATGTATGTATGTATGTATGTATGTATGTATGTATGTATGTATGTATGTATGTATGTATGTATGTAAGTATGTATGTATGTATGTATGTATGTATGTATCTATGTCTGTCTGTCTGTCTGTCTGTCTGTCTGTCTGTCTGTCTGTCTGTCTGTCTGTCTGTCTGTCTGTCTGTCTGTCTGTCTGTCTGTCTGTCTGTCTGTCTGTCTGTCTGTCTGTCTGTCTGTCTGTCTGTCTGTCTGTCTGTCTGTGCGTGCGTGCGTGCGTGAGTGCGTGCGTGCGTGCGTGTAGGTATGTACGTGTGTACGTGTGTACGTATGTACGTATGTACGTATGTACGTGTGTACGTGTGTACGTGTGTACGTGTGTATGTGTGTACGTACGTACGTACGCACGTACGCACGCACGCACGCACGTACGCAGGTACGCAGGTATGCAGGTATGCAGGTATGCAGGTACGCAGGTACGCAGGTACGCAGGTACGCATGTATGTATGTATGTATTCATGTATGTATGTATGTATGTATGTATGTATTCATGTATGTATGTATGTATGTATGCATGTATGTATGTATGTATGTATGTATGTATGTATGTATGTATGTATGTATGTATGTATGTATGTATGTATGTATGTATGTATGTATGTATGTATGTATGTATGTATGTATGTATGTATGTATTCATGTATGTATTCATGTATGTATGTATGTATGTATGTATGTATGTATGTATGTATGTATGTATGTATGTATGTATGTATGTATGTATGTATGTATGTATGTATGTATGTATGTATGTATGTATGTATGTATGTATGTATGTATGTATGTATGTATGTATGTATGTATGTATTCATGTATGTATGTATGTATGTATGTATGTATGTATGTATGTATGTATGTATGTATGTATGTATGTATGTATGTATGTATGTATGTATGTATGTATTCATGTATGTATGTATGTATGTATGTATGTATTCATGTATGTATGTATGTATGTATGTATGTATGTATGTATGTATGTATGTATGTATGTATGTATGTATGTATGTATTCATGTATGTATGTATGTATGCATGTATGTATGTATGTATGTATGTATGTATGTATGTATGTATGTATGTATGTATGTATGTATGTATGTATGTATGTATGTATGTATGTATGTATGTATGTATGTATGTATGTATGTATGTATGTGGGTGTGTGTTGAGGGTATGTGTGTGTATTATGTGCTCATGTATGTTGTGTGTCTGGTCTGGTCTGGTAGTCTTAGTTTCAGCTTCATAGCAAACGGGTTGCCCCATCTTTGCTCCGCTCCTGTGCCAGCGAAAAACACTCAGAATGTCTATCACAGTCCCTTGTGGAAAGATTGACAGACTGTTGTCTCAGCATATCTAGCATACACTCGCATTAAAGCATATGGTAGCCATCCGAAGTGCTAACACAAACAGTCCAACATTAGAAATGCAGTTCATCATTGATGATAGCAGAACTTGTCGTCAACAGATCAGCAGTTGTCCGCGTGATCAATTTTAATTAGGGCCCCGCCAGCATTGAACGACAGGCATCGCGCCATTTTCTGAATCTACAATTCACACCACCACGTTGGTCACAGTCGAAAAAAAAAACATTCCAAATGCAATCCGCAGCTCACAGGGTCACGCCATGCATTCAACTCAGAAGCTGGGCGACGAAACTATATCCAGTCTGTGTGCATAAATATGTGAATATCTGTTTGTGCATGTGTCTTTGTGTGTCTGTGTACCCGTGTGTGTGTATCTGTAGGTGTGTGCCTATGTTTGTCTACGTCTGTGTGTGTGTCTATGTGTATGTCTGTGTATGTTTTTGCTTGTCTGTGTATTTGTCTGTCTGTCTTCGTGTGTATGCCTGTGTGCGTTGTGTGTGTGTGTGTGTGTGTCTTTGCGTGTCTTTGTGTGTCTGTGTGTGCCTGCGTGTATATGCATGTATGCATGTATGTATGCATGTATGTATGCATGCAACTACGTTTCTATATGTGTAGGTATGTATGTTTATACATAATATGTGTGTGTCTGTGTGTGGGTGGGTTTGTATGTATGTGTTTACGTAAGTGGGTGTATCTGTGTGTACGTACATATGTTATGTGTGTGTGAAAGTGAGTAGGAAGGTGTCTGTTTGTATGTTGGTGGGTGTATGCGCGCGCAAGTGTTCGCGTGTAATGTACTATCCATGCTTTTTGTGTTGTTGCTTTATATTCACTAAATGCTTATTTTTATATGAACAACACATTATGCTATTAATAAAATACAACTGTTGTGTGAAAGATGGGTGTTTGGAAGAGTATGATGTAAGGCGGGCCTGTTCGCCCAGTTTGTGACTCTTAGAAAATTAAAGTTCTTTCCTTGTTTTGTATTCCGTATGCTTCTGTGGCTGCCTGTTTAATGCTGGTTTGAATATATATATATATATATATATATATATATATATATATATATATATATATATATATATATATATATATATATATAAAGCACTTACACAGATGAAATATTTTGGCAACATTGAAAGATTTAACACTGTTTTAAATACAGTTTTGGTAGAAAGAGTTGAAGACAAGAGTACAGGTGGTATTCATTGGTACAAGTGGGAGAAAAACATCAAAAGATGGACAAAGAGCAGTCTGAGAGAGTGTACAACCAAAACAAGAGACCGAGCCTGTTAAAGATCTATTGCAGCCAACATTCATTGTGGAGACGGCACCTAATCTAATGACTGATCAATGTTTAACTTATACTTTGTTTATCAACCTAACGACTAGCACATGTATTTACATTTTCTTTACTTCGAAATATGTCTTCTTCTTCTGCCTTTCTGTCCCCCAATGGAGCAAGTTCCCTCAACCAACTTACGCCAAGTCGTTCTATCCTTCGCCATTACATGGAGTTCTCCCCATGTGATCCCCATCTTTCTAACTTCCTTCTCCAGCTCTCTTTTCCATGTTTCTTTTTTCTTGCCTTCTTTTATTCCTATGCCCCTGTGGGTTCCGATGCAAAGACATTCTAGTTATTCTGTTCTCCTGTTTTTCCAGTGTGTGTCCTATCAACATATATGTAGACGTAATTAATTATTTTTATGAGTAAGTGAGTGACGTTTAACCTCAGCAGGACCACCCAGCAAAGGTTGAACACACATCTGCCAACTTTCGAAATAGAATTCCATGGACACACGTCCCAGAAACCACATTCAATTGTAAGGTTTTATTAGGACCCTTGATGACAGCCGGGGTGGGATTTCAAAATACCTCCAAATGTCTTTCATATTCCGATGGGTTTCATAATCGATTCCTTTTGTTATTTCTGGCAGGAACAAACTAGGATGTCGCTGAAAGCTGTCTTTGTGACTTTACTGGCCTTTTGTCTGCTGGGAATATTCATCAATTACTTTGCAACCATCAGTTCAGTGAGCCTCTGGCTTGTGGACCGTTCACACATTGAACTCAACATGTTGAAATTATTTCTTCCATCCAACGACGGCAACGCTACAGAAAAAGAATCAACAGTGAATCGTGAAAACAGTGAATCAGTTGTTAGTTCTGTGAAGAAAAATTCCACAATTTCAAAATTTAACAGCACCTTTAAAAGTGACACCCCAGAAGTATTTCCCTCTACAACAACGATGACCTTTAACACCTCCCTAGTTGTACAGTGCAAGGAGTCGCCATTCATAGAATGTGTTCCTCAAACAATAACGCCTTTATCAAAGAAGGTGTTTAACATTGTTTATTTCAAACCCCCAGACTGGGAGTCGCCCCAGAATTACAAGCTAAATTATTGTCATATAAACACAAACCAGTGTAGGATATCAGGTGGACCAGTCACATCTGAGACAGACGTGGTAATCATTTATGGAGCACATCTCCGTGATAACATCAAGCCTCCGAAGAGATGGCCAAACCAGACCTACATCCTTAGCAATTGGGAACCACCGATGCATGTACACTCGGATTTTTTAAAAAGTAAGTGGCATGTACATTGACTTCTATTTGATTCCATCGTTTTCTAGAATTCACCGGCTGTAAATTCATAAGGACAGTTCTGGTTGTTCATCCATTTCTGAACCTTAGTCTTGTTTCAGAATATGATTTTTGTGCGCATATCCGTTTTACACATCTGGTATTTGTATGCAGACTGTTTGTTCCTCGCCTCTCAGGCGGATAGGCGCAGCTACACAGGAAACATACCTAGTTGGCAGTCTCTATATTGCTCTATTGCTAATTTGTATGAAACCTAGATTTTGTGTGACACTTTAAATTTCGTCATCACTTATTGTTATTCTTAGTGACAAACGGTTTGTCTGTTAACATTATTTTTAATTTTCTTTAAATTCAAGAATAGGTTTTGACCTTCACTGTGTTTTTGTACAGACATGCATAAATTGTATATGCCCTTTACAGTGGTTCGAAAGGAGGATTGTTTCATCTTCATAGCGAAGTTCTGAAATAGGGTTGCCACCACTTATGACCGGATCATAACAGTCGCAAGTCTGGTCATTTTAAAAATATTTCTCACTAGGTTTTTCTGCATGGATATTGAATAGGTATGGTGAGAAAATGCACCCCTGCCTCACTCCTTTTTGCACCTCGAGCGAAACCGATGCTTCACCGACGGCTGATTCTTTTTGATGTAAACTTTCCATTAAATGCACCAAATGAGCTTGAAACCCCATGCTTTTTATGACAGTCCAATATTTTTGATATTTGACACAATCGATTGGCTTACTATAAATGGATGATAGTCAACATCAAGCGATCACCATTACTCACAATGCAATTTCCTAGTATTCTTTTAATCTCAGTTCATGTTTAAGATAAGGTATGAGGTTTCCTTGATCAGTATTAGACTTCCGGGGAAACTGGAGGAAAGGTTTGGCAAAACGTTAAACTTAGAAGTTATATTTGCTTCCGACAGCGCTTTGCTAATACAGTTTCCACATAAGGACGGTTGTCTACGGTTTCGCTGCCAGAGCTACTAAGTTTAATGCTTGGTTGCAGCGCTGTGATCTGTGTTATTTCTGTGGATTGCCTTTCAATTTGTGCAGCGGTTGTGTTGTGGTGTTCAGTATAGGCGGTAGCCGGTTTACGTGTGAGCTGGCGATATACCTTATGCAATAAATATATGTTTGTATAGTAATCATCTTATCGTGCCCGACTATTTAATCAGCGAGAAACTGCATCTCTGGTAATGATTGTGGGATTTTGCGCCTCTAGCAACTGAAATACGCATTTGCTGCTAGCGCATATTTCTGTGGCTTCTGGGACTAGTTGTTTGTTTACCAGTTTTGAAATGCGACAGTGAGGGAAATTTCATTTGATTTGCTTGATTTGATTGGATTTGATTTGCGTTGGAAGGGCTCAAGTATGGGGAAACACGATTACAGTGGTGTTGAAACCTTGAATCAGACTAAGACTATGATTAGTGTTAATTCTCGTGTTGTTTGTCTTTCTGAAAAGATGAAAACTCTCCTTGGAATGCTCACATTAACCTCATCATGACCTACCGACTGGACGCTGACGTCTTCATTCCATATTCTCATCTTAAATTTCGACCGAAACCTTTGGAACAGAGACCGGATTACTGTAAGTTTTTGTCGTGTGCGTTATTCTGTGTTTGATGCAGATCAACAAGGTTTGACACAGTTATCTAAACCATGGTGCCCTACCGCTTTATCAGCAGCCAACAGAAAAAGCTCGCATACTAATCCTGCAATACAGCATTTGATCTAGTTTGTCGGTTTTTACATTTTACTGCATAACCTACATTAGTCTAGTACCATATAATCTTGCCTGTTATTGATTTAAAATAGTTATCGATATAACCTCTTTGAGCCTAACACAATACATCCATTTTTAATCGATTTATATGTTTTACTATAAATCTATGTAAGTCTAGTATTATATACCCTTTAAAAATATGTTTTCATATTTAAACACATAACGTTTACTACTCTAGCCCCATATACATCTTGACCTGTTTATCGATTTATATTTTGATAACGGGGAGTAGATTTTACTAAAGGGGAGTAGATTTTACTAAAGGGGAGTAGATTTTACTAAAGGGGAGTAGATTTTACTAAAGGGGAGTAGATTTTACTAAAGGGGAGTAGATTTTTACTAACGGGGAGTAGATTTTACTAAAGGGGAGTAGATTTTACTAAAGGGGAGTAGATTTTACTAAAGGGGAGTAGATTTTACTAAAGGGGAGTAGATTTTACTAAAGGGGAGTAGATTTTACTAAAGGGGAGTAGATTTTACTAAAGGGGAGTAGATTTTACTAAAGGGGAGTAGATTTTACTAACGGGGAGTAGATTTTACTAAAGGGGAGTAGATTTTACTAACGGAGAGTAGATTTTACTAACGGGGAGTAACCAGGAGATCTGGTGGACACTCCACACTCCAAGGAAAAGCAAGAGAACATACAATCAGCTACTGGTACCATTAGTGCTGGCACGCTTTGTTGTCTTCTGATTATGGGGACTGAGAGCTTATGTAAATGTCCCGAGTGATATCATGTCGGTTCTTGAAACTCAGCTCAACTCAATATTTGTCTATATAACTTATATAAATCGAGCATTGTACACCCTCCATTTTACAGCTTTTATACGTATTTTACTGTATAACCTGTAGGCCTAGCACCACATCCCTTGTTTTACAATACAGTCTATTTAAGTACAGCAGCGCATACCATTTTGTGTATCTAGTTTGTACATTTTACTATAAAACCTAAATGAATCTAACATATACCGCTTGACCTATTGACTTTTTTGTTTTATTTCACTATACAAGCTATGTAAACCTAGCACAATATACCTTCGTTTTTAATATGTTTTTTACATTTTTCTCTATAACTTTAGCACCCCTGACCCACCTGTCATTTTTATATTTTACTATATAACCTCACATAAACATATCACAAAATACATTAACATGATCAAATATAAGTCTAGCAACATATACCCTGGTTGTATCATTTGTTTACGGAAAGGCTCATCCGGTGAACAAATTTCTACAGAAGTCGGATGTGGTTGCCGAAATGCACAAAATATCGCAGCCATTCTGTAAACGGACACAACTCAATTATGTCTGTGGGTTAACGCAGTAGAAGAAGTATCATTTGTTTTTGTTTAATATGTAATCTTTACAAATGTAGCACCATATACCCTTGGCTATATCGCTTATTTACTGTTCCTTATATAAATCTTTCATTGATATCTTTAGAGAAAATGAACTAGAGACTGTTTAAACACTGACTCTCCTAAAAGAATCAGCTCAGAAAATGGGACTAGTTATCAATCAAGATAAGACAGAATACATGATAATAACTAGACAGGGCAATGATTTAAACGGCCACATACAAGTCGATCATATGAAAATCAAACTAACCGAAACATATAAGTACTTGGGTGCAAACTTCAACTGCTCCAACATGCTGAGAGAAGAAATGCAATCTAGAATACAATCTAGAAATAAAGTATACTATGCCCTTCAACGTCTACTAAAGTCAAAGTGTCTGTCTCGCAACACCAAGATCGAAATATATAAAACGTTGATAAGACCAGTCTTTTTATATTGCTCTGAAACTTGGAGCACAGCTTAAAGAGATAAAGCTTTATTATGGGTTTGCGAAAACAGAGTCTAACGACGAATCTTTGGACCCATCAAAGATGCAAACACCGGGAAATAGAAAGTGAGAAGCAACAACGAAATTTATAATCTGTTTAAATCACCACTGATCACTGGCATCATGAGAGCTAATAGGTTGAAATGGTTGGGGGGGGGGGGGAGGGTTATTGAAAGAATGGAGAGAAGTAAGAACTGTATACACAAGAGAGATGAATGGTCGTAGACCACGAGGCAGACCAACAAGTAAATGGAAAGATAATGTCCAGACAGACCTGCAAATACTTGGTGTCACCAACTGGAAAGAGAAGGCCAAACAGAGCGTTGAATGGAGGCGAATTATATCTGTAGCAATGAACCTCAGGGGATCGAAATGCTTAAAAGGAGGAAGAAAATAAATCCATGAGTGTAGCCCCCTTGCTCGTGAAGATAAAAACAGAAACATTCTACTACATACGCCACTACATCCCCAGTATTTACTCATATAACTCATTACGTCATATTCACACCACCTCATCGATCCCCAAGCGAACCATTTCGACACACCCCCCCCCCCCCCCCTCGCAACAGTCAGCCCCCTAAAGACTACTAAGCAGAGATTTTGTTTCAAGTTCAACAAAGGAGTAAAGTAAAGTAAAGTTCCCTTTTCACGCCTTTCGGCGCATCGGGCATATGGGCAGAGCGTCCCATATTTTAACAGACCATCAGCACTCTGTGGGTAATGTGGTCAGCATTACGCCGGCTGTCTTTACTTTCCCAGGACAGCCCATCTTGGTACCCATTTTAGGCTGGGTCGACCTGCGACGTCCCATAACGCGACAAAAATCCACGCAGCCTGCAGTGGCTTTCGATCGCGGTATGCTGGCTTACGAGTCGGACTCGCAACGCCTTAGCCACGGACGCCGCTCAACAAAGAAGAGTCAACCAAATTCTTCGAGAGGACATCATTTGCTTGACACTCTACACGTCGTTGATAAACACTGTGCCGTCAGCATTTATTTAGCACACACTGAACACGAGCTTGCTGAGACTGGCTAAGGCTGTATCAATTTAAGTGAACTGTTTTCTGTAAACAAAAAGATCAAGTGATAAATTAGAAATTACTGGTAATCTTTTTTCTTTATCCTGTGTTTCCAGTGGAGAGATGTACAATCTAATCTGACTATGTAATTCATGTGTTTCGGCGAAAATTATTAATTGTGTGGCTTCGTTACACATTGAAATAAAAAAAAAATTCCGTGGTAATGCACCTAACAAGATACAGCAAAATATACAAAGCAATAACTTGTGCAATGTATCGTTTGTGTCCACATTATTTAAAATTAAATTTATCCCCCAATTCAATACATGTTCCCTAGCCCCGCCGGGCTAACAGTCAGCACCCCCATCACCTGAATCTCAATTGAATCTATCAGTTTTAATATTTTAATATGAAGATTTAGCGCGCCAGGCTATTTTCTTGATCCGCAGCAGCACCCTAAGTATTTTACAACATACACTATTCACACTGTGTTACTACTACCGTTGCCCAATATGCATTTCAGAAGTAATACGCTCACAATGTAAGAAAAATGTGTGCATATAGTTTTAGATTTCATATGTCCTAGTGATCTAAAAAGTAGTATATCCGGTTGCGCTCCAGGCGTAGACGTCATCACTTCCGGCTCCAGTCTGCTCCACACTGCTCCAGCTCCAGTCTTCTCCAGCTCCAGTCTGCTCCAGCTCCAGTCTGCTCCAGCTCCAGTCTGCTCCAGCTCCAGTCTGCTACAGCTCCAGTCCACCAAGCTAAAAATGTCTTAATCCGGAAGTTCAAAGGGTCGAAAAATTTGGGTGACATTTTGTCCCAAGATGGCGAATTTTTTCCAAGTTGTCAGAGGCGTCTCTTTAAAAATAAAACCTTGTTGGGTAATATTTTTCCCAAAGATGGCGAATTTTTTTCTAGAATTTACCCACATTAGACATATTTTTCTCCTTAGAAGTTATATTTTTCTTCCCAGAAGTCATTTTTTACACCAGGTTTTTGCCAAGTATTTTTTTAAAAAGATGGATTTTTTCTAAAGATGACGGCCTTTTCATCCCTAAAAAGTTGCAAAAATATATTTTAGTCTGGAACACCTCGGCGGAGCTTTGGGGGCATTGGAAAACCGCATTGGGGTGTGTGGGGGCACTCCATAAAGTGATGTAGTGTCGGTCTTTTTCTCTTATTAAGCCGGTTCACATAGAGTGATATATGGGATGACGTCCCCCCCCCCCCCTCTAGTCCATATAGTGATGTATGAGATGACGCCCCCTCTAGTTATTACTATAAACATATTATTGTCCTTTTTTTGTGGTCTTTTTCTCCTCTATAACCGCATCTTTATCATTGTTTTGACGCCCGTTCTCCTCTATAACCACAGTTTTTTATCATTGTTGTGAGGCTCCTTTTTCTCCTCTATAACCGCAAGCACCTACGACTTTAGGGGAGATCCGCCATTAGATGGTACCGCTCTTCATATCGTGATATACGAGACCTGGTCTCTACCTTAATCCTTAACAAACAGGCCTTTATTCGCTTGTTTATGTTGGGCCCCTCTGTCTTCTTCTGTTAGTGGGGACCCGGTCCAATAAAGCCCCCTTCTTTGAAATACAAACACTAACCGTTGTTGTTAGAGTTCCCGTTTGCTAGAGGGGATATCTTTTCAGCAATTGTCTACGTAGCCATGTCCGGTATTAATCATGGCTACTTGTTTCCGGTCTCTACCTTAAGCCTTAACAAACAGTTCGACATCCGCTTCCTATAGAGCCAAAAATAGTTAAATCGCTAGTCCAAAGCAATTGTTCACGATGCGATGTCCGGTATAATCCTGTTGTTTACTGTTTACTGATATACAACCTATGGTCAAGGTTGGCTAATGCCAGACAATAAAGTGAACTGGCGGTGTTTATAGTAGAAATTGCATTCTTAAGGGGGGGGGGGG